TTGTTTTCTTTCCAAATGTCTGTGGGAACAGGCCCTGTGGGGAGTGGTCACTGGAATATTAAAGAGGAAAATGAAGGGGTGGGAAGGACAGTTATGCCCAAGGGAACTGCTCCTCTGTTTGCAAGATGCACCATGCAGTGAGCAGCTCTGTTAATACCTAAATCATAATTTTAGCCCCCTGGAAATCATAACCATCAGTCCCCGAGAGCAAGCCCGGCATAGGAAGACAGACTGCCTTCAGGCTTAGACTTGCTCCGCAGGATGGTGCAAACTGCGCACGTCTCTTCGGAGAAAAGAGAGCGCACCTGCACCGGTTCAGCTCAGCTCGGCTTCCTCAGGTGCTCTTACGTTCTCGGCATTAGGGGCGCTTGGTTTGCAGGGCACAGCGTCCTGGCTCTTCTGACAGGTGACTGGATGCGCTCTGTCCACCGCACACTTGTTTCCTTGAGGTCGCTGTTCGGGCAACTACCCTTTCTCAGTCCACTCATCATTGCTGGTGTGTAAAAGGCCAGCCTGCAGCTGCGCAGGCACTGAGCGTATACCTTAGCCTCCAGAGAGGCCTGGGGAGAGGCCCTCGCAGAGTGAGGCCAGTAAAGGGCCTGCAAAGCTGCTGCCCTGCTGGCTTGGAGCAGCTGACACTGGCTTGTCTCTCCTTTGGCCACAAGCAGAAAGGCAGAGTCTGGGAGAGGAGGAGGAGCCAGAGGCTGGATCCTGAAGAGACCTCAGGAGCTTTCCATTAACAGTGAGTGCAGCTGTCAGAACCTGCTTTTCTGCCCCTTTGTGTCAGAGGGAAAATGACAGGACACAGGAGAGATGGGCAGTTTTGAGGGCCATGTAGCTGGCATCGTTGCCTTTTGATTTGTCCTGAGAACAATCTCCTCATTTAAATATGTCTGTTTATTCAAGTCAAATGCATTTCGCTAACGTCAGGCTCCGACTCAAAACATTTCCACTGCTGGAGAGGGAACAGAACAAGTTCTTAATAAGCAATCAGGGGCATGTTCTCTTCTATTCCTACAGGATAATAGGCGGAGGAGGTAGGAAAAACCGTCCTGCAAATCAAGAGGGGAAAACAGCCTTAACATGGTTGCTTTCAGCTTTTGTGGTTTAGTGCCTCTCCTTTAGATGTGCCCAAAGGTTTGAAGGCTGCTATTTTTAACAGGAGAGGAGATAAAGGGGGTATTATCTCTAATGCTGGGAAGGTGTCCACAGACGGGCATTTGATGGAGGGAGGGAGAGGAGGACCTTGGCTTCCAACACTGACTGATGCTCATCTGTCTCCTCTCCTTGGGGTCAGTCAAAGCTGGGTGGGTACCTATGTGTGCTCAGCCTAATGATTCATTTGTGTTTTCACAGCTGTTATCTAGTGGCTTTTCTCTTTTTTAATATCTTTATGACTAAAAGGAATCTTTTCCTTTATACAATGACTCAAAGGGAAAGTACAAAACTTATATCAAGTAGTAGTGTAGATGTGCTGAATCTCCTGCTATTTGTGTTTAAGTGGAATAATTATTCTGATGAGAGTGATCATGAGTAATCATGGTAAGGCAGGAAAGACCTCAACACATTGTTACCATGATCTCCACATTTTTGAAGCATTTTTCCTTGAATTATAATTTTATCTTTGAAATCAGATCTAATTTTTTTTGTAAAATCCAGAGTGTGGTCATCCATAGAGCTATATTGAAATGTGAAATTGAATTGAAAGTCAAATGTTTATAGTAATTATGTTCCATGAAAATGTGAAATTAATTCATTTTATGCCACTTCCTGAGTTTGCTATACTTAAAACACACACATTCCTTTCTCTGTGGCAAAAGTATACATAAAGAGGCAGGAGCTGAAGTGTGACTTCAGTAAGGTGATGGGTTGCCCAACTGCTCTGGATTGCACGGAGTTCCTTCCTACAGCCCGACTGGTTAACTGTGGAAGCCCAATGTCAAGGTCGAACTTTTGTAATGGAAGATGTTGCTTTGGAAGTCTGCCTTTCAGGTCTCCTGTGCGATGCGATGCTCATCCTGTCCTCTCCACTCACCCTTTTGTTTTGTATTTCTGTCCTGCTTCTCCTCTTTACATGTTGTTAGTCTCAAGTAGAAAACTCTTAGGTGGGAGTCTCTTTCATGGTTATACTTTGGGGAAGAATTAGTAATACCAACTATGTAAATAGTACTTTATACCTTATTTTTAGTGACAGTAATTCCTTTTTTCTACTAAGTGGGACAAATCAGTGATGCTATTTGTGTGCTTTGGTAGAATGGAGAGGTGTCATCTAGTAGTTACACACTCTTAGTGTAGGCAGGAAGCCCCAAGAGCTTTGAAGTCTCTGGATGAGTAAGTGTAAGCAGTCTCAAATCCTTAGGCCCAGATGAGATCTTACTGTTCATCTAGTTCAGTGTTTTCATCTTACAGACAAGGAAACTAGGGCCCAGAGGTATGGAGTGCTTCATCCAAAGTCACATAAAATGGCACCACACGGAACCTGGCACACAGCTGATGGCACTGTGGAAATACAGGGTGAAACATTAATCGCACTGAGCGAATTCTTTGGTATATTCTTTAGTTCATGGTGGGATTCGTATCACTTGATTTAGGAATTTCACAAAAACCTGCAGTCACTAAGCACAGCCCACTAGTTACACAGGGGTCTCGGCTAAGCAGGTGAAAGGGGCCAGTTCATGTGCACCACCGGGGTCTTAGTTATCTCCTCGGCCCAGTGTAGCTTCTTAGAGGATCACTGTAATAGCAAGTGTGTTTTTATTTGTAACCAGCTTTATGACCTTGAACAAGAAAGCTTTGTGTATCAGATTGCTTCTCTAGGGTTGAGATTTGATACTGATCCCCCAGAAGTCAGGGAATTGATTAATAATTTAAAAATGTTTTGGGAAATCAGAGTCAGTCTGAGACCGAGGTGTGGCTTGTGAAGAAATACTGGAGTAGCCTCTCTTCCGGGAGTTGTAACCCCTCCCTCTAGCGAAATTTTGTTATCTTCAAATGGTTTTAGCCAGGTCTAGTATCATTGTTATTTTAAAAATTAAACGTTGAATACAGGGTTTAAAAAATATGGGGTCTAGATTTTTCTTACTATAAGGCAATAAGACAGAAAGCTGTTGAGCAAAGCCTCGGGCGATTCTGTAAGGCAGACTCCATGGGACTTTAAGACACGTGTTTTGCCTTTTGGAAATAACTTCGCTTTAGAAAATTCACTGGTAAACCTCCTTGATTAATTCAAAATTTAGATGCTGAAGAAGTTAGGAAAGAGGAGCTGGACACTGTGGTATTTGCCTGTGATCCCAGCACGTGGGAGGCAGAGACAGGATCAAGTCTGATCAAGTCTTAGGCCAGTCTGAGCTGGGTGAGACCTTGTTAAAGGAAAATACAACAAAACAAACAAAAAATAAAGCAGAAGGAGGAGTAGGACAAGGAGGAAGGAAGAAGGAAGTTAAGAAAGGGTTAGACTGCAGCGTTGGGGTGCTGGGGGTTAGACTGCGGTGTTGGGGTGCTGGGGTGATGCAGGACTAACTTACTCTTGAGGGCTTTGTCAGTTCAGCAAGTCTTAATTGTTCCCTGTGTCCGTTTCCCGTGTGGACAGTTTCATGTTTTTGCCACACTGGGAGCAGTCTTGATCTTTCTCCTTATTTTGCTAGGTAAGAATAACTGTGCTTTTGTTATAAAATGAATATTAAGAATCTGAAGGAATGTGAGCTATTTTCTGATAATCACACTCAATTTCTGAACTTTCAATCAGCCACTTTTCATCTTTGTTAGTAATGAAAGTATAGCTTGAGTGTGTAAAATCGGAAAACAAAGACCAGTAAAATACAAAGAAATCCATTGCCCTTGAGCGGAAGCTGCTCCTGAGACTAGAATTACATCTACTTATTGTACAATATAAGAGCGGGAAAAAAGGGCACCTTATACTAGACCGACCCTAGAGAGAAGGTAAACTTACAGCAGGGTCATTAGTAAATTGCTTTTATCCTAAAACACACCTTTACCTTACTATTTATTACATGCACTTATTATTCTCACCTGTTTGGCCAACATTTTATCTATATATGTCAGAAGAATTTAGTACTCTGAAAATCCTAGAAGCCTCCGAAGATGTCAATGTAACTAGATATTAATGTAGTTTAGGTTTAACATTGATTAGATCTGTTTGACATAATCCAGGCTTTCCACTTTTCAGGAAAGGAAAGTTTTAGAGTTGCTACATGTTATTTATGCCTATAAAAAAATCTTAGAGATGTACAATATCTGAAATCATCACAGTGTTTTGGTAATTAGAATGTCTGCTCCAGCTCTCATGCATTGAGTATATTGGTTTTAGCCAGAATGAGGTTTGGACGCCTACATGGGACAGCCCCAAGTAACTGTTGCTTGAACAAGATAGAAATCTACTTTCTCTTAGACATGAGCAGAGCTGAGGCAGGAGTCAACCATTCTGGCACAGTGGCTCCTTGTCATCCTGTGCGGCCCGTATTCGGAGCCCTGTGCTCCACAGTTCTCTCCCAGGGGCACTCCACAGCATCTCCTGGTCTGAGCTGGAGCCAGAGCTGCGACCATCAAGTCCACGACAAGGGTTGAGAAAAGAGTGAAAAGCAGAAGCCAGAAAAGTGGCCTCCTGTGGGCGAGCCAGCCCTTCAAAGCAGCCCCTCACTGGCCAGAGCTTCGCCACAGGGTCACAGAACTGTAAAGAGAAGGGGGCTGTACTTCTGAGTTCTGGGGAGGAATATTCACAGCCGAAAATCAGTTTTTGTTGTTAAGGACTGAGAGGAAAATGGATACTTAGGTAGAGAGTACCACTGTGATTTTGCATTATGGTAAACTTGGTATTGAGGCCACCATGTCGAAAATCAAGGCATCTCTTTCTGTTTTGGTTATGAGCTATGGTTTCTTAATTTAGCGATCTGGCTGAATTTAGAAATCCTGCTTCTTCTGGGAAGCATCGCTGCTTTATTTGGCGGTCCAGCCTGACTCCTCTCTGTCTTCTTGCCTTTCAGCTGTTTTGGAAAGAAGTGAGGCTCAGACTTCTCCATGTTAACCATGAGTGTGACACTTTCCCCCCTGAGGCCGCAGGACCCAGATCCCATGGCAACCGATGCCTCACCCACAGCCGTCAACATGACACCTACTGTGGAACAGGAAGAGGGGGAGGAGGCCTTGAGGGACTTAGATTCTGAGCGACAGTACGGAAAGCCACCACCACTCCACACAGGGGCGGATTGGAAGATCGTCCTGCACTTACCTGAGATTGAGACCTGGCTCCGGATGACCTCGGAGAGGGTCCGCGACCTGACCTACTCTGTCCAGCAGGATGCAGACAGCAAGCACGTGGATGCGCATCTAGTCCAGCTAAAGGTAAGGCAGGCCTCTGGGCTGAGGTCTCAGGACAGAAGTCTGGAGAGGCCCGTGGTACCTGGAGCCTCTGTTCTGTAATGGCCAATGAGGAAATGTCCAAGGAGAAATACAGTGAAAGGTTTGAAAATAGTCTTCTTGAGGGTAAACATGGATAGATCAATTCTCTTCTGATTTTGCTAACCTGTAGCAGTTATCTAGAATAAAACTGACATTTGAGGATAGAAATAGAACAGAGAAGCAAGGACCCGAAGGGACATTTTTGTTCAATGTCACAGAAATCAGTTTTAGAGAATGAAAGGATCTTAGAAAGTTACAAAAGGCTTAACAAAAGACTCGCAGGTAAAATACCAGGCTGCATGGTGATCACCAGCATGTGTGTGATCATACCTTTCTGTTGAAGCTGATGCTTCTTCATGGCAAACAATGGATTCTACCCTGTGGTGGGGGAGAGCAATGTTCTCCTTTTAGAGGGATCTCTCCTGCAGGGACAATGCATTTATAGGACAAAGGTGCTTTTTATAACACCTGATCAAATGTTCAGACATTTGAAAAAAAATGCCTGTGGCTTCTAGAGCCCTTATAAAAGCTTGGGTGTTGGTAGCCTCGAACTGGAGGTCCTAGTGCACAATGCTGTTCACCTGGGGATCCCAAAACACGTGTTGTGAATTTTGCCTCCCGTAGCCTCTCCTCTCTCCCAGGTCCTTGGGAAGAAGTGTGTAGAGGATCAACCCAAAGCCTTATGTAGACTCTAGTCAGTTAGATGGGATCCTGGAGAAGATTCCTTCCTAAATGTCAGAAATAAAAGGCTCAGCAGATTCTTGGCTCCTGACACCAAAATGATTTACAAGCTGTAACAATCACAGAAGAAAGACAATACTTAAGAGAGAGCACGTTTCTCAGTGCTCAGAGCAGATCTGGTGCGGCCTTTCAGGTTGGTTCAGTGGATCCTGGAAGCTGGACTTCTCCCAGGGTGAACAGACCTGGGGTCTCTCTCCTCCTTTCTATGGGTTCTTGGGAAGAACTCACCAGGGTGACAAGGATAAGACTGGAAACAGTCTCCACAGAAGGCTAGCCCCATTAGCTTCCTACAGCTGGGAGTGTAGGGACCCAGAGCCTCCCAGGGGCGATGCCTAGGGTTATAGTAAATAGAAGCCAGGAGGCACTGCTTCCTGCCTGGTCCTCTGCCACGCCCAGTGCCACCCATAAGTACCTGAAGGATTAGTCTTGTAGGAAAAGTCAACTGTTACCTCCAAAGTCTTTCAGATTTGCACAGGAAAAGTAGCAAATGCTAAAAGAAAATTGGGCGAAATGGAAATAGCATTAGAAGACTCAAGTAAATACACTGTTAATATTTGAAAGGTTTTAAAATATCGAGGCTGAAGAGATGGCTCAGAGGTTAAGAGCACTGGCTGCTCTTACAGAGGACCTGGGTTCAGATCCCAGCACCCACATGGCAGCTAACAACCGTCCATAACTCCAGTTCCAGAGGATCCAGCACCTTCCTCTGACCTCCGTCCATATTGCACGACATGGTGTGCCTACACACATGCAGGCAATACATTCATACACATAAAATAAAAAATATATATATAAAAAGCCTTTAAAAATATCAATGTGTCGGTAGCTTCATTTAATTAGATCAATAATGTGGACTTGAAAAACACATTTTAACTCAGAATAGCGATGCAACATGTTTGTGCAGTCAATGTGCCGAGAGATCTGTCTTTCTCACTGAAGCTGCCTGTCACCTTTGGTCTAGACGCAGCTCCCATCTGTCTCTGTCTGCTCTTTCCCAGGGTGTGGTCTAGCTTCTCTGCTGAGAAAAGAGCTGTGGGAGACATGAAGTCAACACAAGTCTGGTGTAGGCAGTGACTTCTTGGTGGCGAATTGACATTGGCTGACTGTTTCATTCTAGGCTTTATATTAGCACTTTTCTGAGTGCTTGTTTCTTCAAGGTACCTGTCTAAATTCTCTGGGCTGTTCTCCAATATTGTGGAACAACAGAGCCCTTCCCAGTTGAGCCCAGAGTCAACAAGCTCCCATCAGTGTGTGTGGCCTCAGCAATGATCTGTACGAAGGGCTTAGTTCTATATTTTAATATGCTTAGTTAAGTTTCCCCTTGAGTAAACAATATTTCTTTCGTTGGCTAATATATCTACTTCGATGCATTTAAAAATTGAAATATATGTCAATTTTTGGATTTCTGCATTGCTTCAAAAGAATAAAGGGAGTTTAGCACAATATTTTAGTGGCAATTCAACAGGACGGCCTTGTAAAACAGCTCCCAGTTGAGAGCCGTGGGAAAGCAGAGGGGCAACTTGACACCCACAATTTTGGTTACTTACTCACTTTATTCATTTACAGTGAAAAGCAATCATCCTGGGATGGGAGTGCTCATGACTATAAAGACGACCTAGGTGTAGAGAATTTACAAATTTTTATATCCATTCCTATGTTTTCCTAGTGAAAACTCCATGTGCTGGACAGCTTTAGTGTCGACTTGACACACCTGGGTTGAGGGAGCCTCAGTTGGGGCATTGCCTCTATTGGACTGGCCTGTGGCCATCTCTGAGGGGCATCTTCTTGATGAGTGATGTGGGAGGGCCCGGCCCACTGTGGGTGGTGCCACCCCTGGGCAGGTGGGCCTGTGTTGCATAAGAAAGCAGGCTGAGCAGAGGCCAAGGGAGCAAGCCAGTAAGCAGTGTTCCTCCATGGCCTGTGCTCCAGCTCCTGCCTCCAGGTTCCTGCCCTGAGTTCCTACCTTGGGCTCCCTGATGAACTGTGACCCGGGAGATGTAAGATAAAGAAACCTTTTCCTCCCCAAGTTGGTAGTGGTCAGAGTGTTTTGCCGCAACAATGAAGAAACAAACTAGGACACTCCAACTTCCTTTTTTATAGTTTTAATTTTTTTATGTGTATGATTGTATTGCCTGCATGTAGGTAAGTGCACCCGTGTTGTGCAATGCCCAGTGGAGGTCAGAAGAGGGTGTTGGATCCCCTGGAACTGGAGTTACAAATGGTTGTTAGCCATCATATGGGTGCTGGGATTCGAACCCAGGTCCTCTGCAAGAGCAGCCAGTGCTCTTAACCGCTGAGCCATCTCTCCAGCCCCAGCTCCAGCTTCGTGTGTCCTTAAGAGCCATTTCAAACTGGATATGGCTATCCCAGAGCGCTCAATCCTCCCCCATGTTCCCAGTTTTGGTAAAAGGGAGCACTGTTTGCCTAGCCAAAGCATGACTTTCTACATACATGTATGTCTCTCAACAGCAAAGCCATCGCCTCAACGTGCCCTAAGTTCATTCACTACTGCCCAGCATGACTGCAGCCATCCCAGCAGGCCGTGTCATTGCTTGTCTAGGCTGCGTAAAGCCCCTAGCTAATCTTGTATCCCTCCCTACCTTTGGATATGCCTTTGCAGTTTATTCTCCATTTGGTAGCTGTTGGGATCTTTGAAGAAGGTGAATCAAGATGTGGTCTTCATTTGCTTCCTATTGGACTTTCGTAAACTAAGACTCAGCTCTCGTCCTGTGGCTCCTCACTGCCCGCCTCTGGCCATGGCTGCTCCTACCTTTCCATGGTCTGTAAAGCTCCAGGTGTGTTTTTTAAAATGTGGAGCTAGTTCTTGCTTTGTTGCTTCCCCAGTTCCCTTTGCCCAGACGCTGTCTTCCCGCGTGGTATAACGGACTCTGGCTCCTCATCAAGCTGTCGGTGAGAGGCACAGGCAAGTTCCAACGTCTTGGAGAGGGTTGATCAGAGGTTGGGAGCAAGGTCAGGCCCGTTCTGTGTTTGGTGAGGGATAGACACAGAGACATCTGACTTGCCTATGTACCTCATGTTGCCCTTATGTTGCCTGAAGTCTTTTCTGAATGATCATCTCCACCATCACATCATTGTATAAGTTTAAAAATACTTCATTAAGAAATATTTTGGGGAAATGCTTGGAGCAGGTTCTGCTAATGGTCATACATCAAATTCTCACACCAGCAATTCCTGATGCTTACTCTTAAAATAACCACCTCCTTCTCCTAGCCATTATTGGGTCCAGATACCATTTTATTTACTTTAAGTTGTTCTTATCAGTAACTGCAGTTATACCCCTTCTTTTTCTTTCTTTGTCTTTATTTGTAAAATTTTAGTTGAACTTTTGTGTATTTCATACAGAATATCTTAATCATCTTTATACCTTCTCCATTAGCCCCTCCCATAGCCCCCACACATTGGAATTCACACATTCCGTCATTTGTGTTAAGGCCTATCATGTCAACTTAATGTCCCCAGATGTCCCTCAATGCAAGTTCGTCCACCGAAGTCTAGTCAGCCTGTCTAGAATCCCTCCCTTTGAGAAGATCAGCTCCCGCCTGGCACTGCTTCTTGTTACACAGCCTTCAGCGGTACTCACGGACTCATGTAGGGATATCGTACGTGTAATTTTTCGGAAGGTTTTTGAACTAATATAATTCCCTCTGTTTTTTTTTTAATACTAGCTAGGTACTATTTATGTCTCCTCTTTCTCTCCCTGTCTTATCCTCCCTGCCCCCTTCCCATTTAAAATGCCCCCATTTTCCCCATTTCTTCTTGATAATTTTTGTACGCTGTGGTCCACCTCTCTTGAGCACCTCTTCCCTGTGTTCCCATAGTTGTTTGTATCTCCCTCCTTCTCCAAAAGAATCCCCAAATTACACAGGCTATTGCTGCAGTCCTTGACTCCCTCCACAGCTTGATGGTAAGACCCTATAGCTGAAGACAGGACATACTTTGGACACAGGATTTGGAGCAATGGAGCTGTACTGATCTGGAAGCTTCCTTCCCTGAAGGCTAGCTCTCATAGCTTCAGAGAGCACTGCACAAACTGGTAAGGAAGAACATCAATCAGTGATCCAACCCCAGCTTCAAGGCCTAAAAACCACAACAATGACCAGCAGAGCAAACGACATTGGTGCAGCTGTGGCACTTTTATCTTGTGGACACAGGATTTGGAGCAATGGAGCTGGTACTGATCT